AAAACATGCTGGCCAACTAGTTAGAGGCGTAGCCATAACATTTTTATAAGGGTGGCCAGGCAATAACCAATGTATATTGAGGGGTGGCCAAAAGTGGATAGGCATCAGAACCTCAGGGTTAATCTACACTGTTCCAACAGAAACAAGCACAACGTCCACATTTCTAAATAAAGCCAAACTATAGTTTCCTACAGCCCTTGCTAACAAATAGATGCATAAATTTAAACATCCGTCTAAATAAAAGCTATATTGGATAAATTCCTTCTAGGTTTTAGTTCTGGAGCAATCATCTTTTCCATCATCATTACTTACCTAATTTTATCAATATCATTCTACATTAAATTGATATTTACTAGTACTAATGTCTACATAAATTGATCATTCAATAAGTTTTTATTAAAATAGTTATTTACAGTATCTATTATGTCACTGAAGACTCTTAGATGACTTGCAGAGACATATAATTTTCTCTTTACGGCATATAATGCAAAATCTAGTTTTGAAAGAGCATGAATTTTGTACTAATCATATCCAATGTTGGTATATTGATGTGCATAATTAACCACAGTGTTTTTGTTGTCAAGTAATTGTTAATATATATGTAACCACTACTTCATTTAGTTAGCAATAAATTCAGTAGGAAAGTTACTTTTGTTCTAGGGTCACACAGCAGGATGATAAGCAAATAAGTTTTAACAACTTAATTTTATTTTCTTTCTCCCAAAAAAAAGTCCTGATAACACCATTTACCTTAATACAATTTAGAAGATAACTTAAAATGTCCACCCTTATAAGAAAATCAATGTTCAGGACAAATGAGGGTAGGTTTTCTAAATCGTAGCTTATAAGCTCATTTAAACAAAGTAATTAGTCCTTAGATATAACAGTTCGGTCAGTCAGTTATGTCAATGTGCACGTAAGTTGTCAGTTTAAAAAAATTAAAATAAAATAATGTTCATGAACATATTGTTTTGTGTATAGAAAAAAATATGGACTGGGGGCCCCCTTTTTGTTTAATAAGCTTATCTGTTGTCCAAGCAAAATATCCAGCTCCAGGAGCTCCAGTCCCTCCATCTTCCCAGGCTTTAGTCCAACATAAAGATGGCTGCAGGACCTCTAGATCTCCACTCGTTCGTTCAGATATCGGCCGTCCAAAAAAACCAACCTGCATGCAGAGCATCAACCGATCATGCAGGCATACAGAAATCAGCAAAATCCTTCAATCACGCTCAGTAATAATCAATTCAGCATTTAAAATGAAAAAAAAAAAGCTCAGTAGTAAATAGGTTACTTAACAATATCACTTCAGCATGAAACAGTCTCATTTCACAGGACTATGGTAGGCTAATTACAGAGCGACACATTATACTCGTTTTTTTTCCTAGTTAAAAAAACTGAGCAACGTTAGCGCCAACTAGGTAGCCATTCTGCATAAGAACTAAGAAAACAAACACATTAAACATACAGACAGATCAGAATAGTTTATGGGGGTTACATATATAAAATCAAAATGTTTTGAATATTCTACTTGAGAGAAAAAAAGTGTTAGGGGTGGCCCTGGCCCCCCATCTAGCTCCGCCCCTGGTACATTTGGTCTTGAACCTCCAGTGGTAATTGCCCAGTGGAAACCGAAATACAAAAGCAACAGGAAACTGATTGATGTGGTGGAAGTAGGTTGCACCGGTAGTGCAGTACATTCCAGACATGTTTCTGCCTCCATGTGCTGCTCAGTCAGCTATAATGAGCACTTGGAAAACTCAAGATGATCCCTGGAGACCGTGACGCGACGGGATGTTGGAATCAGGAGGCTCCACCCATTGCTCTGCCTCTCATCCCATCTCACCTCCTGTTGAGCGCATAAGCATAACAGTCAGGATATGACTCAGATCAGCGTTATTACTGCGATTATTTGAAAACTCTTTATATGGACAAACTGAAGTGTCCATTCATCAGCGCAATTTGCGGATCCAGTGAAGGCTGTTCCTGACAGGTGCGCACTGTGTCCAAAGGAGGATGGGCAGGCGTGAAGCGCACGGCAGAGGCGCGATGAACCCCAGCCACCTCTCCGAGCTCGGCTGTCTTCAGGACTCTGCGTCCAGCGGACAGCATCGGGGAAGCGGCGGCGAGCAGCTGCAGAGGACCGACGGCGGTCATCCATGCAGCTCAGATCAGCGGCTAAGAAAGCCGGTGATAGCGAGCCGGGCATCGGCTTTGGCTGCAGCGCCGGTGGAGGTGAAGAAACACCAGCATAAACACAACTTGAAGCACCGCTATGAGGTGATGGAGACGCTGGGAAAAGGTACCTATGGAAAAGTCAAAAAAGCAGTGGAAAGGTCCAGCATGAAAACGGTGAGTGTAGTAAGAGTTTGTGAAATCAAATCAGAGATGATCTTAATGATGGGCCTGAGGATTTATTTGTTCATACAACCCTAATATGTTAAAGCATTAAAAAATATAGATTGATACATATAAAGCAGCGTCTAAAGACTGGCTTTATGTGGTTTCTAGGAAGGGGCCACATTTTACAGCTGCTTTTTGTTTCTCTGATTCTGTCTCCTTGAACCCCAGCCAGCCTCAGCAGATGGCTGCTAACACTGAGACTGGATCTGCTGGAGGTTTCTTGATGTTAAAAAGGAGTTTTTCCTCTCCACTATCACTACATGCATGCTTAGTGTGAGGGATTGCATTCGAGTCAGTGAGTCGAAGCAATCAACTGGTGTTCCTTAGATAGAAAACTTTGAAACAATTTGACTGTATGATCTGGTGAACTGTAAAGTGCCTTGAGATAACATGTTGTGAATTGGCGCTATATAAATAAACTGAATTGAATTGAATTTCTGGCAACACATGCCCTCAGAGCTAGACATGACTGAAAGGCATGGATACAGTGAGCATAAAAACATGAAACATTTTAATAATGGTACCAAATATCAGATATTGTTGTATTCTATAACAAATCGTGGAGCACAGAGGTGATGACATCTAATCCAAACCCCATATTTATAAAGAGGATGCCTGTGTTTATTTATTTATTTGGAGACTAAAGTAACCTCTGGGCTTCCATGTGTCTTTCTGATGCTGAAGATTTGCATCTTGCTCTGCCAGGCTGAGATGCCTTTGCTCTGACTCACTCATTTGGGGGGTAAAAACCCTGCAGGTCTCTAACAGTAGTTTGACCCAGTTCACTCAAAGCCTTCTGAAACTCAGCTTATAGACAAGCAGGATCTGTTTTACTTTAAAACTTCTGCCTATCTGGTTAATAAACACAACGGAGAGAGGGAATACTTATTTTAGGATGTGATCTCACAGCCTTTTAAATGAGTCTGAGAGACAAGCTATTCCTCTAACACATAATAACTTCAATCTTTTTAGAAATGTGAGATTGGTTCTTGTCCTTGCTGCTTCATAACCCTAAACATCTAATCGGGATGAAAGACAATAAGGAATGAATAGCAGTGGTTTTGTGTGCAGGGTGAGGCAGTTTGTCGGGACATGGGGAAAATGCAGAATTCCTTGAGCCATTAGCCACTGCATACCAGGGATTCTTTCAAACAAAACACACATTATTTTTGGAAACAAAGCTAAGGGGCTTTTGACTGAGCTTAAGGAAAAGGGAAGAGAAGGAGGAAGACACTGTCAAAAACATGATAGGAGTTGAACAAAACTAATTTAAAGAATGAATAGTAAAATTTGGTATTTAGATTGAGGTGAAACATTATGAATGTGCTTGATGTGTTAGCCTCACTGATAAATACATGAGTTATTCATATCTTTTAAGTTTTCCTCTGAAACTTTAGTCTTTACACCAAATAGTGGTTTGCAAAAACACTTGAAAAAGCTTAAACATTTCTCAGGTTTTGTTTGTTATAGCCACAGATTTTAAGGTGGGAATGAGAAACATAAGATAATACATAATGGGTTAAAGGAAAATTATCTATATTTTTTTAAAGAAAATCTGAAAGGGTGGAGGATATTTGTAGCCATCTCCTTATGAGTCGGCGTATGTATTGAACCACCCTTTGGTCGGGTCACAGCTGCAGGTATTCCGAAGCATCTAAAATTTCCCTTCATTTAATGACTTTAAAGCTCACATTATATCTGACCAAATGTTGTTACTACCAAGTTTCACTGTGTTATTGGGATTTCAAGATGGTGCAGTGTTAGTTTCTACACTAGCTGTCACAATTGACAGTTAAAAGTGTAAAGCTCCACACTGGTCTCCTTTAACCAGAGCCATCTTTTCAGCCTTTTCGTTCCCCTTCATGACTTGTGGGAAACCACATATAGTATTTTGTCCTACAGATCAGAAGAAAAACATGTAAAAGCCATATATACATATTGTTGAATGTATTTTTTTTATTTTTGTTGGAGCACCTTGGTATATTCTAACAGAATCCTACAAAATGAAGAAAGTGCAGAAAAATATATATATTAGATTCTCAAAAACCATTTTATCTTTCATTTTAAGAGGCACAATCCTACGCTTTCATCCTCAGTACGATGATGAAGACATATTTTCTATAATATCACATTATTACTTTAACTGTAGTGTGTTTGTCTTGGTCCAGATCCCTGTCAGCAGCACAGTCCTGTAATTGTTGGCTATGAAAGGAACAGCTTAAGTCTCCGTGTTTAGCCGAACACTGAGGTCCAGGGTCTGTTTGGCAAGGATCCTGTCTAATCCCATGGCTAAATCTTACGCAGATGCTTAAGTGACTCTTGGGATGCGCATGTGTGACTTTGCATGCATGTGTTTGCAAGGACATTTTTGATTCTGATTGTAAGCCAATAAACAAATCAATATCAGTTTCTCAGCATCCTGAAGATTCATACAGATATAATAAACGTTGTTTTGTCAGGACACAATTAATACCCTCGAGATGCTGTAATAAATATAGAAAAGAGGAAAAGGAGGAGGGAAATATGACACGCTGTTACTAAATCAAAATAGCCTCTGAATTTCTTTGTCACTCTATCTTTTGGTTTAATATGCAAGAAAAAAATCTTGTCACTTCCTTTTGACTCATGCAGGTTATTGCTTATACAGTATATCCTGCTTTTATGAAGCAGTTATTCTTAGGCCAGAATTTGTCATTTGACTCATTGCATAGAAGAACAAAGAGACAGGCTTAGAAGGCTTACACAAGTTAAACTTCTCCCACATTGAACTTGTCCAGAAGCATAAACAGTACCATTTTTATGCAGGGTTTTTATGAGGGTAAGCAGAGGCTCCCACTGAGAGTAAAACACATCTCCTAATATGTCATGCTCTATCATTGTTGTGTGTTCTTTTAGCAGCTATCTCCATTTATGTCTTAGTGATTGTTTTTTTTTTTAACAAAGAACTGACACAACAGAAAACACAACAGAAGTAATAAAGTGTTTGAAAATGTAGTTAATCCTTATTTGAGTTCTTTAAATCACAAGATGCTCAAGAATCAAGTTGATCACAGAGCACTTATAGGCACAAGCTTACAAGTGCTTACTGCTAGATTTAGCAGCTTTATTTGTATTAAATAGTGATTCTCTATCATATAAGTAACAAATATAAACAAGGCATGTTCTATAAATAAGATCTATTTTTAATATGAGTTTAAATTGTTCCATTAAAAGCTCTATCTAGTTTATTTCAAAAGGTGAAATGAAGGACGGCTGCTAATGGATGTCAGTTGAACATTGCCTGCTTCAGTTTCTTTCCTCATGCTGCTCCACGTATTCAGGTCAGATATTAGTGTAGCTCATTAACACTGGAAAAATGCAATTCAGATGATAAATGTTCAGCATGTTTGCTGCAAACTGCAAACTGCTGCCCTTTTTCATCAGCCTGTAGTCTCAGTTATTGTGGGAAAATATCCTTAAATGCCTCGAGTTTGATGGTAGAAAAATGCAAGCTATTCCCACAAAGCAGTAATTTTCCTTCATCACTTAGCTCTTCATCAATTATGGAAGGTCAGCCCAGTCCCAGGAATTCAGTGGCTTGTGTTTGCGTTGCATAACTGCCTGAAGTCAACGGACTGTGTGAACTGTGTCTTCCTGTGTCCCTTAGACGTTTTTTTTCCCTGCAGCTGCAGCACTGACCTTGAGAAAGGGTCCAGAATAACCACAAAGATGCTCTGGGGTTCTATAAGCATGACCATTTATGTATTTTAGTGTAAGCTTTGCTTTTGGACATTCTGCAGAGATTTGTTATACAAAATTTCATTGTATATTTCAATTAGAGTAAAAATTCTGACATCTGCTTTTTGCCTTCGTGCTATTTCTGTAAGCTATTTCATATGCAGAAAAGAAAAGATAGGTGGCTCATGTTGTGGGATATCTGTTTTAGTGTTCTGCACGTGTGGGTTTAGGGGGTTGGTGAGGAGGGGCGGTTATTGGAGTACAATGAGTGCCTGGGATTAAAGAAGAGGAGCGTTAACACTGCAGCTGTCAGCCTTCTGTTTCTGAGCGTGGTCACTTCACTGGACAGTAGCCTTTAAAACCAGCATGATCACCTTCTAATACCAAGAGATTTTATTTGTGCTACTTAGTGTGCATCACTGTGCTAAAAGTGTTTGTAAGTTTTTACAAAAAAAACCCTTTATTTTAATAAAGAGATAAAGAAAAAATAACCAGCAACTTAGCTAAGAATGTAATAGAAGAATTGCTCCTATGCTTTTATTTCAGTTTCTATGGAAACAAACATTTACCAAGTTTCATTAGGTTACCTTAAAAAGAGGTGTCTTCTGTTTAAATCACCCTTATTTTAATTCTTTTTGTAAGTCATACACTGTTTTAGCATTTTTTTACACTCAGATGCCCATTGTCATTCCCAGGTGGCGATCAAGTCGATCCGAAAAGAGCGCATTATTGATGACCTGGATCGAATTCACATCCAGAGAGAGATTGAGATCACCTCCTCACTCAGACACTCCAATATTATACGCTTCCATGAGGGTAAGACTCATCGATACATCCATCTATGGATATCACACAATCAACCTATCGAGGAATGGAGATATAACTGCCAATAAACACAAATGTAACTTAAGCCATACTTTAAAAAAGATATTTTTTAAAAGGCTATCTGGTGTATTTAATAAAAAATAAACCCTTTTTTAAATAATTACTTAAATCATATAAATGATTAACACTTCAAGTCTATACATTCTACAATCAAAGCGTACATAGGAAGTTGACCCAGAAGGCGTCTCCATTAATCTTATTTTTTAAAACTCTGTAAAATAGAATGCTGTAACAAACAGGCCAGCAAATACATTGTAAAACTTCACAAACTATTTTAATGTGAAGATTTCCCATTTAGTATCCAGAGCTGGAGTTAGATTTCATAGATGTCATTTGAGCTCCATAGAAATACCCAAAGGAAACTACTGCAGTTAATTTCTGTATATGTTCTATGAAAATTGGGTCAAAAGGAAACAGAGAAATCCTTCTTAATTTATGTCCTAAAAATCTGGAAAGGAATCATGAGAATATGCGGGACTCCTGCCTGTAAAATGTTCCTCATGTCCTCTGTTGACAGTGTTCGAGAGTCGGGATAAGATCGTGATAGTGATGGAATACGCCAGCAGAGGGGAGCTGTACGACTACATACAGGAGAGGAAGCGGCTGCCAGAAACAGAAGCCAGAAGCATCTTCAGACAGATTGCCTCTGCTGTCCATTACTGTCACAAGGTTAGACAAACATATGGTCTGAAAATGAGCCACAAAAAAATTGAGTGTAAACTAGGGCACACGTGCTGAGTATTCAGTTTAGCATTAGTAAATACCGTAATACTAAACCCATTTAATCCTAATCATAATACTTTGGTGAAACCTGACTTTGGTTTTCAGAGCTCTCTGGGTTAGGAGCACATTAGGCTCTGATTGCTGTTTGTACTCACATATTTACATATTTACCAGCCTCCTTTATGAATTGGCGGGGAAGTAAATCCTTCTTTTCCGTTGTTGATGTCAACATTGAATTATCAGCTTTGCCAAAAAGCAGGAATTACTGATGAAATGCCTAAGTCCTGTTAATACTCAGCAGCAGCTGCAAATTACAGTCAGTTGAAATAGAAGAAAGAAATATACTATTTTATCTTTCAGCTTATTCAACTTGAAACGACATCCAGCTTCTTTGGTTTGCTGGGAGGAGGGATTTTTTTTTCTTCATCTCCTGCTACTCTTAAGTATTTTCTCAAAATAGTAACAAATGTTCTGGCTTGAATGAATTATTGATTGTGCTGCAAAGGTATGCAGGGCACACTGAGATATTTCCAGTACTTCCACTGTTTTCCTTTAATACAAAAAGGCCAAGGGAACTAGATTACAATCTTTTCTTTTACCCTTTTTGTTTTTCCTTGTTTACAGAAACAGATATACACAGACTTAGACTGTGCACAGAAAACACGTTAAAAAACATATAATAAAGTGCACTGAGGAGGATAAAACAAAAATAATATCTTTAAAGTCTTTTAAAGAGTGTCTATTAGGGTTTTATCTTTTCCCCTCAATCAATTTCAACTCATTATCTGCAGAAACATTAGATCATTTAGCAAACCTTTTCTCTAAAAAGATCTGAATGGTTTTCTTTCCCCTAAACTTTTTAAACTTCACTCCTCTGCACGGGCGGTTCTTGACAGGGGCCAACGGGGGCCAGGGCCCCTGTAGCTAATGTCCTGGCCCCTGTTATGGCTCCTGTACTGAAAACATAATACTCAAAGAAATTCTAAAGATGATATGCCCTGCAACTGGCATGGTTACTGATAGTTCCTTTGGATCTATTTCATTTTTTTCTTTACCAATTGTATTTTATTTACTATTTAAAAAACAATAAGGTGATAGCTTAGATCATTGAGATATGATCCCAGTTTTCATCTGCTAAATGTTTTTTTCAAAACAAATTAATAACATACTCAAATTTTTTACAGCTGAATTTAACAGTTTTTCTTAAATTCTAATTCAGATTTTATAGAAAACTGTTATTTCATCTTAAATTAAGTCATAAATATGTAAAATTCCACAATTCTGAATGTATATTCACCTAAAAAGACATTTAGAATTTTAATGAAACTTAATTGAATAGAAGTCTCACTTCATGCAGCTATCCTGTTTTTTTTTATTTCATGCTTCTCTGTGCCCCCATGAAAACACGCTGACCCCCTCCTGGCCCCCCTGGTACATTTGGTCTAGAACCGCCACTGCTCCTCTGCCCTCTGTTAGCATGAATGAGGAGACCGAGGGATCATCTGATTCAAAAACTTAAATACCTCATATTTCCCTGTCATATTAACCTACCTCCATATCCTCATGCTCTGTCTTCTTGTGCAGAATGGTGTCGTGCATCGAGACCTCAAGCTGGAGAACATCCTTTTAGATGAAGATTTAAATGTCAAGGTAAGACTTCTAAAATTACATTTAAAACAATCCTTCATTCTTGAAATTAGCTTAAAGCATAACTGTTTAAATAAACATGACATGATTGTCATTAAAAGCCATAATGAATTAAGCTGGCTCAGCTTTCCTAAAAAGGTTAGAAGACAAGTTGGCATTTTTACATTAAAAGAAGTCTGCCCACATTAAGTGTAATGTTTTTATTATTCTAGAGTGAACATGGTGCATAGTCTCTTATTGTGACCCAGGGGATATTTTTTACCATGCCTGAATAATAATGGCCTTATATGGGAGCTGTGCATGTTCTAAGAGGAACGTGGAGAATGTGGCTGCAATCTGGGCAGACAGTTAAATAAATAATGTTAAAAAAGCCCTATGTGCTGACTTCCTAGCCGCTCGTCATTCACTACCCACCTAAACAAAACAAGTTCCCCGCACTGATCTCTTTTGCAGGAAATGACCAAGATTTATGTGTTTGTTTTATGTCTCCACAATAGAAAATGCTTGATGGTAGGTGAAAGAAAGCAGAAACAGTGGAGCATGTTTCACAGAACTTTGGGACTGTGTCAGTTTATACTGTGATTCTATGGTTATGCTATATGGCTCAACCAAGTGGGAGATAAGAAAAACATGTAAATTATAATCAGTTTGATCATTTTCCTGTTGTGAAAATGTGGCACAAATTATCTTTCAAGACAAGTTTGCAAAACAAAAACATTTCAGAACAATTTGAAAACCTATTTTATTTGCATCTGACACTTGATAAATTATTTGACACTGTCAAGACTTGCAGTATACTTTGCAAAAAGCAACAGCCTTCTATTAAAGTGCAGATTTTACAAAAATTTTATTTTATGACTACAACTGATTTGTACTCAAAAAGGAGATTTATATTAGAAACATTAAACATATTTTTTACCTAAGTTGGAATTTGGACTGCGAAACTAGGAGGTTTTAGAGTGACCCTTTCATTCTGCACCACACCAGACATTCTTAAGGTGTTTTAATTGTTAATTGTTTTGATGAAAAATGTGTAGCTATTACCTTCAAGGCATACATCTTAAATCATACTTTTTTTATTACTGCAGAGAAAAAACTAATGCAAATATTATATAAAAGAATATTTACTTCTTAATCTTATTCCGATTTTGACTATAGTAATATTGTTATGTTAGAGCTGAGCTAGATTTTTAAGCTCTCTAAACTCTCACATTTGTTTATGCATATTGTCTGAAATCATTTCTATAGCGACTGAAATGTAGGGGCCAAAGTCTTGGATGGACATGCATCACAAACACACATTGTTATTGCCACTGTAAAATAAATAACGACCTCAGAGCCACGTTGCTTACACAGTGTCACCTTCTGTATATAGGTCTCTTATGTTGTGCTCCTCCATGTGATGGAAAAAATGTTGTCATGTATTTTTAACACCAGAGCTTCTGATAGAGGTCTGCTGTGCATGTGAATAATCTCTTCAGATAAAGTCATGGCACAGTACGTGTGGTTATGTCTCCTTGCAGCCTGGAGTGAGTGATTGTTCCGTTACGTAAGCGTGAAAGCAGCACCAGCCTAATGTTTTTGGCTCTTCTCTTGTCGATGCTTGCACAATAAACTGACTAAACCTTCAGGCCTATTTTTGGATCAGTTAAAATAGCCATGAGTTCTTGTGCATTCAGAACATGACTATAAATTTGCAGAACATAGTAGCTTTAAAGGGATCCAGATTATGAGAGAAGACTTTGAAGAACTATTCAGTTTAACCAAAAGTTAAATTTGGTTGCCATTAAATTCAGTATTATGTGCTGATGTCAGTTGTTTTAACAATGTTATTTTGTTTTTGCTGTGTGCATTAGTAGTAGGGAAGAATATTCTAACTAAAATGTGTTTCTTTGTTTGCTTTTTTTTTGCAGCTGGCTGACTTCGGGCTTTCCAATAATTTCCAGATAGGCTCCCTGCTGCACACCTACTGTGGAAGTCCTCTTTATGCTGCACCAGAGATAGTGAAGGGGCTGCCATACACAGGACCAGAGGTTAGTTAGCCAAAACAGTAGCTAAACAGCTCATGCTCCTGTGTGCTTGGAGTGTCTGCTTCTCTGCCTTAGTTTTCCAAATTAATTTATGATAAAACAGTAGAATAGAAAGTCAATTTCCTTGATAGATGAAGCTGTCGTTTTTAGCTTTGGCATTTCTAAAATGGAAAAAAGACAGTCCATTCTTCTCATCTTATGCCTGAGGAAAACGTTTAAAATAACTCATATGCGTCAACTATTTAGGTCAAAAAGTCCACTGTGTGCCTTTAAATAAAATATACTGACAACAAATAATCACAGAAGTTGTGTTTTAGAATATGCTGAATATATTTTAAATCAACAAAAATGAATCAAGAAACTATTGATTCATCGCTTAACAATTTCTTACTAGACATCAGATCACAGTGGGGTACAGTATTCAGTTCGAATAGAGTTTGGGCTATCCCTGTGAAGGCTTATCTGGGTGTTTATCATGGCTGAGTAATATATTTTGTAAACAATACAGTATAAGTGTGTGAAAGTTTGCGTTCATAGAATAAAAATTGGATCCAACATTAGTTGGTTACTTGTATATTTGAAACTTAGTACTATTGTTTCCCAGATACTTCAGCTACAATGAATCAGTCAGAATTAGGGTTTGGAAATGATAGGATTTTCACTATTCCCTTCGATTCTGTCAAACGATTCGATTCCTTATCGATTCTGCTACGTTTTATTTCTGCCTCCCTGGGCGAAAACAAAAGGAAGTGAACAGGAGCTGCCAGCCTCTGAGTCACCCAGGCTACTCGTCTTGTCACAGTCATCTAAATCTAATGGAGAAGTCATCCGTTTAATGAAAAAGCCTTTCTGTACAATTTCGGGAAATAAACTCATCTCCCCCTGATTTAAATAAACGAGCGTTACCTTTCTCTCGCTCCCTGAACTGCGGAGCAACTTCGTAGCATGTTTAATAAGCCCAAAGAGAGGTAGGAAACTGGATTATTTCCAGAAATGGCATATGATTTACTAGGAACCGCATCAGGCACAGCCAATGATATAAAACTAGCTACTTACCACCAGAGTTGACTTTTATGCAGGTCGTAACTTTAGCTTCTGTCTGGAAGCATCAAAAACACGGCATTCGTCAAAATAAAAGGGCAAAAACATGGATTGATAGAAGAAAAAAAGGTGTTCAAGCCACTAACAACCCTTTAACTGAATTGTAATTTTGAAGGTGTTGAAATCTTATATAGCTTATGGTTTTAGCTAAATACTTGATGTGTTTTTGTTGTGTTTAAGGTGGACTGCTGGGCACTAGGGGTGCTGTTGTATGCTTTGGTTTACAGCAGCATGCCTTTTGATGGGGCCAATCATGCTAAGCTGACAGAGCAGATCAGCCAAGGCCGCTACCGTAGACCCAATCCACCTTCAGGTAAACCACTAAACAGTCAAAACTCTATTAAAAACCGCTCAAACATCTATCAGGTGTGCTTACTTTAAGAAGCTGTTGATCCGTTTCTCCCAGATGCCTGCGCCCTCATTGACTGGCTGCTAACAGTTCGCCCAGAAGAGAGAGCCACAATAGAAGACGTGGCCCACCACTGGTGGGTAAACTGGGGCTATGAAGAGAGTGTTTGTGACTGCCCCACATCTCCACATCAGGAATGCCCTTCCCCATTGCTGGCCCGCTACATTGACTGCCAGAATCAGGTTGGCACTGCGAGTCATATGGCAGCTGATCCTGGAGCCATAAACCAGACTTTGGACTCCTCTTGCTGTCCTCAACCTGCGTCAAAGTCTTTTTACTTCAATTTCCCTGTAAAAAATGACTGTGATGAAGGAGCCAGGGTTCGTGGAGGGATTTCAAACCTCAGAAAGTCACGCAAGGAGAATGCAATCCCACAGAGTGCAATGGGAGCCTGTGCTGATGTTTGTTCATCAACTGTCTCTTCTACTCCAATGGCTACCTCAACACCAGAAAGAAGAAAACCTAAAGGTATACTGAAGCACCAGAGGAGTTTGGATTCAGTTTTTTACAACTCTCCAAAGGAATACTCCTATCAAACATGCAGCACTCTCCCTCACCAACATCGGACACAAACACTTGCCCACTCGCATGGAGATGTCTTGTGTAAAACACTTTCTCATCCATCTACATTCAGTCAGCCTTCATCTAAGATGCCAAAGAAAGGGATACTAAAGAGTCGAGAGACGGGTTACAACTTAACCCCGGACAGAAATCATTCTGGAGAAGGAGTTAAAGAGAGCAATGTAGGTCAGTCAGATTCACACAAGACTTTCCCAGCTGCAGAAGACAGTCCCACCATGCGCACAGAAGCAGTGAGGAGACGAAAAGGTATTCTGAAACGTAACGGTAAATTCTCTCGCAGTCTGGATCTTCCCGACAATCCCAGTTCTTCTGACTGTCCAGCCTCTGCGGTATTCCCTGAGGTGCTCCAGCAGCTCCTGCGGCCCACAGGGGACACCGAGGGCCGACGCAGCCGCCCCTCTAGTGTGGTCAGCGAAGACAGCTTTTACTCCTCGGATTCCTTCGATCTGTTGGACTTCAGCACTCAGTCACAACGCAGGGTTTTCTCTCAGGAAAGGCAGCAAAGTAGCTGCATCTCTGGAGAGAGCCTGGGGCAGATAGAAACAGAGACAGGCAGAATTGAAGGAGATAAAGGAACTAAATTCTAAATATGAATGATCTCTGTAAATTTTACCCATCATGTAAAGCAACATTTATGATGGTACTTGCTTGTATGACCATCAACACAGGAGATTCTTTAATCTACTGTGTGGATGAGATGAAAAGTGAGATGGAAGTGAGCTAATTTCATCTCATCCACACAGTAGATCCTTTCCTAATGTATAGAAAGCATGTGAAAATAAAATGTGAGAACAACAAAATGTTAGTTTTTAAACGTTTTTAACTATTTGTAAACTAAAGTTACCTACTGTGGGTGTTAAGTTCAGATGTTTACAGTGGTATATATATATATATATATATATATGTGTGTGTGTATAGGATGCAAATTCTACTAAACTGACTTTAAGTGTCAGATTTTTATGCACAAAGGTTGTTTTTTACTTTATAAGCCTTATGTGAAATAAATTGGTTCTGGCACACCAATAAGCAGACTAAGGGCACTTTTTTTGTTTATGTGAAAATATTTGCCTTATTACAGCTTCAACTTTCATTTAATATTTCTTCTTCCTGTATCTACTAAACAAAGATGGTGTGATGGATTGGATTATCATTTCATTCATGACAAGAGCTGCATATTCAGCTACTATGAAGTAACTTAAAGATCATTTCTGCTTTATTCAGCTGCCAAAACCTAGGAAACCGAATTAAGCTGTAAAAGGACAGTGTTGCATCCTCTAACACCTTTATTTATTCCTTACAGTGTTGACTTTGTGCAATTTGCTTATTTGTACCTACACAGCTGTATCAATTGAACATTGCTTTGTTTTGCTGTGACTGCATCTATGCTGCTGGGAATGCTTTAGGTGATATGTGCAAAAGATGTTTTAAATTCAAAGTGTTATGCTTGACAAAAATAAGGTTATTCCTTATGTTGAATTATTTTGTACTTGTTCTGCAATGGTAAATAAATTATTTGAATAATAATGTGTCAAACGTTCTTGTTTTGGTGAGAAACCAGGAAAAGCACATCTCTTAACAATAAATAATAAACCACAAGAAAAAGAATAGAAATCAAACCTCCCATTTTCATTTTACTATTTACTTTTCAGTTCCCCCATAAATCTTGCTTGCTTTACTCTGGCTCGTGTTTTTGAGTAATTTGCTTAGGTTAGTTTGTCATTTTATTTGGAGAGAGTAACCACATGTTTAAGAAAACTGGGAAAAAGTAATAGAATGGCCTTATACAACAATGAATGTGTTTTTTTATTTTGTTTTTTCTAAAATTGAATAAATTGTATAAAGTCTTACCTTCTAGATCTGCAAGATCTTAAAGAGTCATAAAATGTTGTAAATATGGTTTATCATTCTAAGCATTTAAAACGGTTAATTATGTTTATTTTTATACTAGGCCTTAAGACACATTAAGCCCTGAACAAGATTAGCAGCTATAGACTTTTAACTATTGATAAAATACCAGCCTCTGTGGTGCAGGAATATATTAAGAAATATTAATATCAATTTATCAAAAGTTGTTACCTGAGCGACTTGCATAAATTTTATGTTTAGAGTAAGTCTTATTCTATTTTTCACTGCTATTTTCCTTTACATGGGAAAATCAATTTTACAGTTTCTCTAAATGACTCATATAGCAACTCATTAGCTGCTAAATGAAGGTTATAATACTATAAGAAGGCATTTCAGTTTTACATCAAAATATATGACCAGTTCTACCTCCCACAATGTAAGGAAAAAAATTGTTAGGAACGTGTTGATATACAGCAGGTAAAAAATGCCCTTATCCTATATTGCTGTTCTTCTATGAAGTAGAGAAAATATCAACTAGTGCACTAAATTCAATAGATGGGATGAAAATATACAACATAAAATACAAAATGTTTTATGAAAGATTTCCAGGGCATGAAAGAAACTGTGCACACAAACATTGTTATTGGAAATGGAAGAACCTGCAACATATTTTCATATCTCTACCTGTGAGTGGCTGGAGGTGAGGAGGCCTTCAGTAAAGTGAAGATAATAAAAAACTATCTGGGCTCTAGGATGTCCCAGGAAAGGTTCAATGGTCTGGCAATGCTGTCCATAGAGCATCAGCTTGCCAAGAAATTAGACTTTAAAGACATCATAAATGACTTCGCCACTAAAAAAGTTAATCGTTTTAAAACATTTCTGCAATATAAATGATAATGATTTTTGAAAAATAGCATATACTGCATCTTCTCTGCTCCAAACACTTTAATTTGGCAAATAAAAAACTAATAAAATCAACTAAGTTAGGGTTAAACGATTTTGCCAAAACTCAAAATTGTGATTATTTTAAACCAATATTGCAATTGTGTTTTCATTGCCATTTTCCTTTGCACTAAGCTCAAGCATGTTGATGTTTTACTCCTGAGTTTTAGTTTTCTTCATGACCTTGAAAAGCCTGCTTGCTCAGAGTCCATGGTTGCAGGACTTTACCGTAAAATTTGCATAAAAACATTCTTACTTCCAAAACAATGCACAGATCTAGGTGCTATCTGCAACTATCTCTTCCCTTCTGTGTGACAGTATACCCACTTTAATCATATTACCGCCACCTGGCTTGAGGGAGAAGTTTAATGTCTTACTGTTGTTAAATGTATTGTGACTCAAATTGAATGCCTCTTCAATTTGAAAATAGCTTTTTTTCTAAATTGAGATTATATTGCAAATGTAATTAATTGCCCAAACCTAAACTAAATAATTACATTTATCAAAATGTATATCTGAAGCATCTGTATGTCTGATGCAAAGTTACAGACTTTTGAAATATGTGCAAGATACCACCTTGGACTGGCATTACAGCTAGCTGTAATTCCAGCCTTCTAATTTGAAAAGCTTATGGTATTATACAAATATTTACCTTCATCACTCAATAGAGGATAACTGAACACTAGAAACTTCAAGTATGTAAGTAGTTTGAGGGCCCCTTGATCTCACTAACAATTTCCCTAAGAACCAGAGACTGTGGGCCAAGGATTTTGAAAATCATTACAAATATCTGCAGTAATTATAAATACTTAGCAAAGTAAATCTTGTAGGCTAAGAGGCTTTCTGCTTTCTTGCCTCACGTGAGAATTCAAGTAATACACAAAAAGAAAAACATTGCTGGTTTTTGCACAGCTTTAAGAGGCTCAAGGCAGCGGAGTTCGTTGGCATTAGGAAGGACACATCATCCATTGCTCTTGTGTTCTCTACAAGTTCATATTCCATAGAAAATAAATAAAGAAGTCCCTATTTAAACTGTTAAAAAGGTAAAGAAAGGACAAAACTAACTAAACTGGGAAATGTTACCTATTAAAATGTGTTTCAGAGAGACCTGCTGGGAATTTACACTATTGAAATACATTATATGGTTAAAAACTGAGACTATATCTTAGAATGAAGTAGGGTAACCATATTTGGATTAGCAAAGAGGACACTTGACCTAGTTATGAAAAACTCATTAACTCATTAGTTTGGTAAGAAACAAAGGTTAAAAAAAATTTCAACTTTCACATCTCAGCAAGTAAAAAAGTGACTGAAATCTGATAGAAACCATGCCTCCTCTGTATAAGGAAATAAATGTAAGATGACCAATGTTTTAGACTGGATACATTTAAAAAGTCAGAAATATTCAGAGAGGATATGTTTTGTATTCCTTTCTTTTTAATGAAATAACTAAAAGAAAAAAAGAACAGTCTACATTCTTGATCCTATTTTTTTCTTTTATCCTCCTTTTCTCTCATCCATATTTTGTTGTAGGGCTGATCTTTTCTAGAGGTTTTTGAATGCGTAACAAATAAACATGAAAGTCTTTTAAAAACAAGAAATCGTTTTTAAAATTACTGGACAATCCTGATTAGTGACTCAACAGAAAGCTGTTTTCTGCCCTTGCTTCACTTGCTCTCTGTATCAGTAGGTATGGCTTCTTCACATTTGCATTGAGAAAAGGGAAGTGGAAGGACAAACTGCAGTCTTCAGTGATTGTGAGTATCGGCATGCTTATGACTCCCCAAACCTTTTGTTAGGACAACAAAGTAACGGCAGCTCCCACAGCCTTTAGATATGTTTCTGTCTCCATGTGACCTACAAGATCTATGGCTCTTTTGTCATGCATGGTACTTTCTGACAGCCATTTGTCCTGAACTGGGATGTATGATAGAAATTCCTTGACATCTCGTAAAGAGCAGCAGTGTTGTGCTGTTTTCTGTCTATGAATGGAGAAGAACCAATCAGAAAGCAGCAGCTCTGGGATACCATCACACAGAAAGAAAAGGCTGTTATATTCTGTGCATCAACAAGTGTGAATTGCGCCAAATACAACAAAATAAAAATACACTAAAATGAAAAATGTAAGGTGCAACACTTTGTTTTCCCTCTTTTTCAGTCATGCTTTTGATGTAAGTTTTATTTAAATGCAAAAATATCCAGTGAGTTTTAAGAAATACCAGATTTGGAATGGTTGATTTATGTTTTTTGGGGTGTTTTCTTTTTTTTTTTCCTTTTTTTTTTTTTTGTAAACATCTGCATAAATGCTGTATTTTTGTCCATTGAAGATGTTTTTAATGAGTTCAAGTGAGCTCAAGTAAATAAAATAAAATTAAAATTATTTTCCAAGTCTAATTTTAAATATTATTATGTGCTATTTCTTATTAATAAGTAAATACAAGTGATTTACATTCTTTTCCAAACCTAATTTTATATATTATTGTGTGCTATTTCTTACTAAGGAGAAGACAAATTCTATCCAAAGTCTGAGCTATAATGTCACCCTGTGGTTGTTTGATGTCACTGCTGAAATTCAGAGTCCACATTTTTTTCAAGTTTGAGATAAAAAGAAAAAAAAAAAAGATTAGTTTTATTATCTCATCAGAGTCCTGCTCATTTTAGACGGATTATTGAGAATCTTGTGGTCCTTTTTTGCATCAGACAGATTTTTAATGGCAAATATAAAAATAAATAAAAAATTAAAATCTACTTATATTATAAAATTGGTTTAAAGTTCATATTCACATCCTAATGTGAAACTTTTAAAAACAAATGAAGCAACTTTTTAACAAGAGGCACATGCCAGTCAATGTATTTAATGATTTGGGTCAGTGATGCTGATAAAACCATCTTACTCTCTATTATGTGTCTATCTGACATTCATAGATAAAGCACAAGTATCACTAGGCTGAATATTCCTTTTTTATATGTCCAACCTTTATTTATATATTTAGATTTTTTTTTTTTGGGGGGGGGGGGTG